ACTACAAAATGAATGTGTGCTGGTTTTCTCTTGAAGGGTCTACCAACTCTTTCTCAAATGCAGCCATTCACACCCCATGGAAGCAATTGCCTGGGCTCTGTGGAGACTCCCACCCTCGCAGGTGATGGAGGGAGGGACGTTCTGCTGGGATTCCACCATCGCTTCCGAATTCGTACACCACCAGGATTGCTCTGTAGAAATGCCTTTGGCTCAGCGTTAGCAGGAAGAAGAGCAGCCAGCTGCTTTGACAACAAAAGACTCCTAAGGGGTGTCTGAGGCACCGGCGGCAGCACCTGACTGTGTGCAGAGCGGAAAAGTCAGAGGAAGAGATTGCAACAGTCTCTTCCACTGATGAATCTGCACAATTATAAATAAATCACAGCTGCTCTGACCATTTTGTTTACAAGGTAAACCTCTGAATTCCTTGCGAGCCAACCTCATTGGAGCATCTGAGCTCAAATAGCTGTAAGTAGCTAACTCTGGGATTCCAAATGTGTCTGTTCCTATGGGAAAGATAAAATCTGGGATTTAATGTTGAGAAGATGTGCTTGTTTTGGGTGCCAGGGAAGTATATGAAGAGTAAGTCTAAAAAGGGAAAATTGATGGGATTTATTGACTTTTCTTCTCGTGTGAAAACAAAGGGATATCTCACACACCATTGCAGATAAATCAGAGGGAAGTGCACAGATACACACTGGAGGTACAACGCAGCATCAGGACTCCAGCCTGTTGTTTCAGGAGCGCAAACAAGACATTTCTTTGTAGTAGGAACTTCATGGTGAGAGGGAGCTGCAGCAGCGCTGACTCAGGGCACAGGGGCAGGAGAGTAGAGATCAGCATCCCGTGCGTAGAAGGGGCCTGACAAGACACAGGCTGTGCTCGGCTCCAAGCACAGCTTTGCTGAATTTGGGCAATTCCTCCTGTTCCAGCTGATTTAGGTCCCTGCTGACCTCTCCTATATCCAGAGAGCTGCTCAACCGCCTACGGGTGCTGGTAAATGCCAGACACTGAGTTTGCTCAAATTAAAAGGGGGTGCAAAGCCCAGGGAGTTGTAGACTTACACAGATTTTTTTTTTTCTTTCTTCTCACTTAGACTTTGTCTTTCCGTAGAGGTTAACAGAAGAAACAGCAATAGTATTAGCAAAAAGGGGGGGGGGAAACCCCAAGTACAGCAGTTCTTAGGAGAGGGAGATAATGATTCGTGCTAGCCCTTTCAACTGTGTGCACTAAACTAGGAACTGCTGGAGCTGGAAAGGGTGCAGTGATGGGCAGTGTGCTTCCCAGTGCCCTGGGAAAGGGGAGAAATGGAGGCTCCGAACCAATCCGTGAACACAACTGTCCCAAGAGCAGGGGAGCTCAGACTGGCCGTATCTTTCATCTGTGGGACTCATCGCTGTCAGGTACCGAGGCAAACAAACCTCAGCGGAGTTCAGGGATTGTGTATTTTCAGGACCGCTACAGAAGCGACGGCGGTTGGAGCCAGCAGGCTCTGAAGGAGGTTCGGGTCGTGCTTCACCTCTCGGGTAAGAGGGAATGGGAACAGGCTGCATTTCACAAGCTGCTTTTTTTTCTGGGTTGTTCAAAAATGCCTTCCGCACTGGGGGAACCTCTCGCTGCATTCCCTCTGGGATACAGCGTGGTACCAACAGACGAACCAACAACAAATAAGAGGTGTATGGCCTGACCTGCAGCACCCCAACCAGGAGCTGCTGCCGCCCCCCTGGCTGCCAGCTGACCTCCGTGCCTTAGGCTGTAGGGCACAAACGTCGTTCTTGGGGCGTTTTATGGTATTAAACCTTTCACAGAAATCTTTACCTTCTTCTGAAGTATTTGATTAAAAAAATACTGTTGGAAATAGGAACTTCTGGTTTTCTGGTAGCTATTCCTAAAATCTCCTGAGTAGAAAGACAAAGGCGTTGGTGTGCTGAGAAACCTTGGCACATTTTTTTAGCATCACCTCACAGGATGACTTTCTGAAGAAGCTGTTTAACCTTGTCTGTGCTATTTCCACCCTGCAATGGTATACATTCTGTGGCTAGCTGGAGAAGGCTAAGGGTGCTGCAGCTGGTGGCATCATGTGTCCTGGGCTACTTTTCAATGGCTGGGTTAGGACCAAAATCCTATTTTGGTTTCCTGATCATTCACGTTGTCGCTGTTGCCCCTCACATCACAAAGCTGAGAAAACCTTAGTGATTACTGTGGGAATTGAAGAGATATAAAGATCT